CATGCGAACGTTGTTGCACCTGGTACAACCAGATTACTAAACGTTTGTAAAGTTTTGACTATGTACATGTGCGTTTAATTGTTATATTGCTATCATGCTGATCTACCTTCTGTGTCGTTTTGAACAGGCTGTTGGTTACTTCGATAGGCAAGTTGGCCTATACGTTGTATAGGCGAGGAACCTGTATCATCATGCAAGTTATTAACTGTACTCCAGAGTATTATTGAAGCTAACCTTTACTATTTAATATAGTTAGTTAGTACAACTTAGATTTCGACTACTTTGAATGTGGTAGTACCGTTGGGCTAGTTCTCAAACAATGCTATCTCAGTAATGTCGTAGTACGCACAGATCACATGAAAGTAAATCCCAAAGCATGTAGACCCTCGACTCTAAGGACAGTGCAGTGCGATGATTTTGCAAAGCAAAACTTAACAGGCTATGAGTAAATTACCTCGGAATTTTGCATCAACGATTCCCCCCAGGAAATTATCCTCCTTTTCGACGCAACAAATCTCCCCCGAAGTTGTATTTTTAATGAACAAATGAATAGTACAAATTAATCTAAGATAAGTTGCAAAGGCTCCGTATCATTCCATATTCGTGAACCTCTTACTGACAGAATCACTCCTTGATTCGGATTTCGCCAAGAAAAAATATGACAAAGGGAACTTATATAATCTACTGTTTTGTCATCAAATAGCACATTAGAAGGACCCGCCTGAGAAATGTCTAAAGTGCTAACTCTTCAATTTGATAAATTTACAATTTATTTTCAAAACTCTACTCAGTAGGCCCTGGTGTTGGTGATTGCGGTAACCATGTTAAACCTAAGTTTTATTCGCATCGTGATTTCTTGTCTTAATGGCTCACACAATGCGTCATCCTAAACACCAAATGGTTATCTTAGTAACGTTTTGGATTCATGTGGCATTATGACTGATTATTTCCAACTAAGGACAAAAAAACAATATTTTCGCTGTATCAGCATAGGCTAGCATGTAACCGTGGCGTTGGCATTCTAATTAATGTTATATTTAAACAATTAAAAGCGGTCGCGGTGATTTCCTTTATTTCATTGATGTCCCGCATCTGTTTTTCAAGCCAATAGGGTTTATTTTTTAAATGCTTATTTTTTGTTCAAAACATACACAGTTGTATGAAAACTATTTACGGTGATGCCAGTGGCTAGCTTGCCAACTTGTATGGTAACCCTGAAATGTCACTCAAAACGAATTTCCTAAGACAGCGTCGATTAGATTTATCTCACAGATACTAATTCAGCTCAAACCAATTCACGAGTTTAGTGACAGGCAGATTAGTAGATATTTGTTCATAAAACGGTAACCCTTTTTCATGTCAGATTGTCGAGTTTCAAAATGGTAGAATTGTAGTATTTTCTCAGCAGAAGAATTAATATGGGCGTAGACGGTGAAGAAACAAGGGAGAACGGGGTTAACACGTGTCAGCATGAGGACATCCTGTCTGTGTAACATGCAACCAGCTTCAGAACGTTCTCACGACGCATGAAGGCAAGATTTTATCACACAGATATGGATCTTACAATTAGATTTAATAGGGGACGTATCATGCCAAACTCCGACCCATTCTTTTAACGCATGCCCGCATGATTGAGGAGGCTTTTATGTATTTAACCTTTTGTCCCTGCCCTGTGGTCATCAATTTCGGTCCTTTTAGTAACCGCTGCTTCAGTAGCCATGCTACATTGAATCATCCACAAACATCCGTTCCCAGAATCGTCCTTATTTATTTAAACATAGTTACGCATGAAGCAACGCTAGGAAAGTCGGGCTTCTTTTTGCCTGGATTTCCTAAAATCCTACGCACACAAGTATTTGCCATTTACATTAAGATAATTTTTTTAAACTAAGGCACTCAAGATGTCACATTACTGGTGTCGTTGACTTTCATGACCCATAAGAACTAACGGAGTTTGAATGAAATACGTTTATCTGCTTCAGTTTACATCAAGTTCAAGTTCAATATCCCAGCTAACTGCGCGAATACGTCCCCATGCCACCCGAAGACGCCACGCAAAACCCAAATTCGGGACGGACCATTGAAAGCATATTCCATGCGCATCTGATGCATTCTGCCTGGCAGTTCTGTCAAGAAAGAACCTGTTTTGGTGACACATAAAAAGATCAAGTGTGCATTTTGCTAATGGGCTAATTACGTTTTGCCAAGATCACAGGTGTAATTGTAAGCACTTGGGTGACTTAAGTACCCCTTAAAACGAGGTCTGTCATTACACTGAGGCTTCTGTTTCCGTTATTAGCTAGCCAAGTGCATTTACAGTTACTGTAGTAAAAGGTGGAGACGTAGAGCAAGACTGAACTCATAAAAATCTTTTAAGTGACAACTTAATACAACTTAACATATCGAAATGTAACGATGGAATGTTCGTGATTGTGTAAGGCGGACTCCGGGCCAGGCTGACAAATTATACACCTGAAAAGACTCGATTAATGTGTCGGCAAGAGATACACGCACAAACACACACCCACAAACTGTAACGAAACCCAAAATGTCTTAACAAATCGCAAGGGAATGGGTTAGACTCTAGGACTACCTGTAGACACAAACAGACACGCAGTTTGTTACCTTAGGTGACTCGTAATGCCTCAAGGCACAGGAACAAATGCCGACGGGGTGGGATTTTGGACGTTTAAAGCCTTATCAAGCTAGAAAATGAGGTCTACGGAAGGTCGGCATAATTGGGCTATGAGTTGACGCCAGGCATAGCTAGAAGTTAAAGTGCTTTTGGAGTACTAACACCAGTGAGGGAGTAGGGCGAGTCGAGATTTCTTTGTTTTTTGGCAGCTTAATCCCAATCTTACTAGAAAATCATGTTTATTTTTGAAATGCTTGTGAAAACACTACCGATTTCAACCCCATGTGCCCGGGAAAGTTTGGATATCGTAAAGCTCGATTATCTTAAATAAAGTCTTACTTTACAAATAATTAACCACAAATGTAATGCATCACTACTGACAACAGAGTCCATGTCAGTTTTCCCATAAACACAATATATGTGATTCACTGGTAATGAATCTCTTGCTTATTTATTTAGCTTCACCAAAATCGGGACCTGTTTGAATTTCACGTGGCAGACCTGCAACTCCCATCAGAAGGCGACACCCGACTCTCCGTCTGTTGTCTGCCAGGCACGTGGATCCCACGAGACTACTGCGCCACAAGATGTCGCGTTCTGTTGGAGGCCTGTATCCTTCCCACAAGAAGCCGCCAAAGGGCACTCACTTGTGGAGGGGCCAACGACACCACCGTTTTCCGGACTGGCGTTATCTTTTCGGATGGAAAGCTCCTCAACACCACCCACGATTTCAGTATACACCTTTATCGAAAAATCAGGGTAAGTAATTGGAATTTAACTTACAGTGGTACGGTCAATCTTGCTAAAAAACGACTGTGTTGAGTCTCGGGCATGTTAAAGGGGGATTTGCACTGAGCACAAGATTAAAGTTTATTTACCTTGTCAGACAAAATACCTGTAGTAGAAACTTCATTAGAAAGTTGTGGAACGAAATCTTGAATCCAGTATTTGGTAGTAATGAAGTTTGGTATGTATTAAACAAGTAGGAGCCTAGATCACGCACTGCCCCTCTAAACACGAAGAAGACAATTTTGTGAGCTAGTTATTGTCGTAACACAGGTCAGCATCACGCACTTTACGCCGGGTTGATTCTAAAGGGCTATCGAAAAGAATCATGGCTCTGTCATCCACTTGTAGCCAAAATTCAAGCGACCTCAATTGCTTGCCAAATATGAATAGTTGCTATCTTAAAGGCCATGCGTTAAACTCTATCTTCTATTCTCTCAGAAACCGCGGTCGCTATAAAAGCCAGTGAGTCTGGGAATTGGAACAAATCTCTTTTCAACATTCCTAAGACTCATCACATTCCTTTTTGTAGAAAAGATTAATGATATGTTAAACAACCACTGTGTTATATTTTTATAAGAGTTGTTCAAGCGGTTTTGATATTTTCTGTCGTTGATTCCGACGAAACAACTCGATTAGTTAACCTCAAATTACGCAGTAGCAGTAGTTAGGAGCATAGTTGTTTGGGCTACTCATTATTCCATTTCATTCAATTTTACCAAACTCGACTTACAAAAACACTCTTAGCGTCGTCTTTAAGTGGCAAATTGTTTTCCTAAATTCTGGACTGAAAATGATAAACAACCATCCAACAGAACAATTTTTATCAATAAATAAAAAGCAGGCAATGTTTAAGAAACACATTAACAGCCTCACAATTTCCTACTCTGAATCAAAGTTTTTTTTAAATATTCGACATGCAGCAGTGAGCAATATTAAAATTGACGGACGTTAAGTATTGCTTTAAAAAAATACTATTTGGATCCTTCTCAACCAATGTTGGTGTATGTAAAAATATCTTCCGGGAATCATGAGAATATTTTCATGTCGGTAAACTTTAGACAAATCCTTCAAGGCAATATATAGCATAAAAGGAACAAAACAAACATCTGAATGCCTATTAAGATCTCTCGGTAGTTGAAAACCTATTTGTTAAAAGTAAAAAATAGAAATTCTCTGTGTTGCTTGTGTTGGTTTATCACATTCGATGTACTTGTGTCATCGACAAATAAGAATTCGCAACAATCCAATTAAGTCAAACAAGACCGAATTTCTGGAATAAGCAATGAAGTATACAGTTAACATTTGCCGAATGTGCTCACCATTGTAAGTTGAACACATACGGGAAAATTAAATATGAAACTAAACCAATTTGGTGTCCTAAATAGTATTTTTTGCCACTAGGCCAATGTCTAAACTAATTACCTGCTATACTGCAACCTGAGTAATAACTAACTACTGCAAAGTTTATTACAAGTGGGAACTAGATGGAAAGGGTTTTCATCCGCCACGTTAGCTGCGTTAGATGAATTTCGTTACTTTGCATAAAGAGTTAAACTGGAAATGCACCAGCCGGGAAATGGTAATTTATGCAGGCGCAAGACTGGCCAAGTCCGGTCGATACTGTACCGATTGCGACACCCACGGTTCATCGAATTCGGCATCGGGTTTCTCCTCTGGGTGGTCCGTAATTCAAACCTCCTCCCCGGCGGGCGTCCGCCGAAGTTGCGGTTTATCGGGGGGCGGCCTTGTCCGCAAACTCACCGTCTTGAAGGCGGTCAGTTGGGTTGTCTCAAACTGCGAATGAGTGAGTTGAATAACCAAAAGCAGCGCATATTCTGGTGAAATATTATTGCTTCTCAAGTATTCATGCACAAGCTACCACGAGCCACTTCCTGATGTATCAACTAAAAGCTCAAGATTCGTGGGTTGGCTAAAAGCTGACCTTTACTGAAATCGCAACAATGCGGAAACTGCAGCAAACCAAAACCCGCAAATATGTCGACTTCGCACCAATTTACAGCTCTGTTATTTCGTCTCTCAATCGGCAAGCTTTATTTAAAGTCTTCCGTTCTTTTTCTACCCTCTGTTATCCAACGTAAGAATCTGTCAGTGATACAAATCTACTGCTTACCTACGTAGATTCTACTTTGATAGAACAGTCTTTTAATTTGACATTGAGCGTCTTTGCAGCAGTTCAGACTTTCTTGATCAATTTAAAAAATAAACAAATTTCCAGGTAATAAATCTCATCCCCACATCCCTAAAATCTGACAGGTCCCCAAGATGGGAGTTGGTAGTTGTTTTTGCATTACTAGACAGCTAAAATATTTTAAAACACTTTACTTTCCACGAACCAAGTTGCGTTGAGGGAAAACCTAGGAATTTTAGAGATGGGTTTCAGCAGAAAAGTTTGTATTAAACCTTGATTGATTAGAGTTAGGATAATTTCCTCAAATAAAGCTAATCATTCGTCTAACAAGAGCGTATACCCTCAGCTCTTCAGAGGAAATAGGCATCCTCCTAGCTAGCTGTAAAGTTGGCCAATATCGTTTTACCTCCATGAGTGTAGCTGAATACATCAATGTACTTAGAGGAAATAAGTATTGGCCCCAGGCGTGGCTTATCGATGACAAGTATCATTCCTGGGCTATGTTTTTTGAATGGTTTAAAAACGCAAAAGTAAAATCTTACTAAGACGATTTATTCTATTTGCACCTGAAACTCAGAGCAGTTATCGAAAGAAATAATCTGCTATCGTTAGGGTAGATCAGACAGGATGGCTCACATTTTGAGCCTAGCTGACAGGCGAAGAATTTTGTTCTTTTTTTACTTGAAAACGACGTCCAGATAGGCAAGATGTTTGGTTATCTTGTTCACACATCAAGCATACTTAGCATGTTTGAAAACTGAAGTCATTTGAGGAATAAAATATGCTCATGCCTCTCAGACCTCATTTGTACATCATGTTTATATTGGCTTAGTAAAATATTTTCATAAAAATAGCATTTTTGTGCATTTTGTATTTAGTATTTTCCTAAAATCTAGAGGTGAGACGCTGTGGTCCAAAATATTTGCTTTCGACGGGCAAAACGCAGGTCCTGATAAACTAGTAAATACTGAGTCTCAGACGTACTTTGTTCTGCTGTGTTTTATTCGACTGAGCACGGCAAAATTCACTTCATTTAAGGGGTTAAACCATGTTTAATTTTTTTTCAAAATTCTGTCAAACTTAAGATTGGATTTTGTGCTGTAAGATCACTTTTTTAGCACTAAAGTCATTTTAGTGAGGTGACACCTGTATAACGTAATCGGTGAACTATTTAAAGGCTAAAAACACCGAAAAATCAAGTGACTTTTCCCTACGATATGATGAAGCCCAATAAAATTAAGACTTGCTCAAGCACACAGGTTTTTTCTTCATCTGCTGTCTATTGAACACTTGCAAGGAGATAATTTCTTTGACCCCGTAGCGTTTGCTTTATTAATAAGTGTTATCATTTGCTATGAGTTAAGGAGAACATTAAACTCCACTCAATTTTAGGGGCCTCTTCATCTACAATTCTCCCTTTATCATCGAAGCCCTATCGGAGGTAAGTTGGGCATTTTTATCATCGAGGGTTAGTGTTGCTTTATCAAATAAACAGACGATTCGTCTCTTTTCAAGATGAAGTCCTTCTGACTCAATTTTCTCCACTCAGCATCAAGGAGCGTCCAAGAAGGGTGTGGACAACACAGACACTCAAGACTCCGGATAGTGCTATTGCCATAACGCTCACACTGTCGCATCGCATTTCATGCCCACCCAACTATTACGGCGACGCATGCGAGCGCTACTGTGCCCCCAGGGATTCTGACCTGGGACATTACAAATGCGACTCAAAAGACGGTCGCATTGTTTGTCTTCCGGGTTGGAGAGGCAGCCAGTGCACAGAAGGTTTGCTCCATGCTTCAAATCACTCCCACTTGTTTACTAAGCTTCTCAATTTCACGAAATGAGCAAATTTCCTAGTCGAAAGTACTTATTTTTTTACTAGGATTCAGTGGTCTAACGTGGATGCCCATTTTGCGCGAATTCAAACGCCATAATTTTGTTAACATTCTAATCTGGTTGCTGTAACAGCCACACACCAAATTTAGGCACACGTATTCAACACCTTTTGTGACGTCAAAATAAGCTACCTATTTTGAATGCACAAAAAAACCTTTCGAGTTTTAATTTCACACAGTCGCGAACGGCGGAGTTCTCGCGACATTGACATTAATTAGCAATCTAGTGATTACTGCACAGACCGCTTTTATTTTGTGAGACCTTGAGCTTTTTCTGCGGAGCATTCTTCTTGGTTTGACCTTCAAATGATTTGGACCGCGGTGACCAACTCAGTGATAAACAAGCGGACGATAAACGTGTTTTGCAATTTTAGCAATATGCAAGGCCGGGTGTCTACATGGAACGTGTGAATCTCCTGGTGTTTGCAAGTAGGTTTGTCCTTCTTAAAGTTGATATGGTGGCTGAATCACAAGAATGTTCTTTGAAACTGTCCAGATGAACAACGTTATAAGGCACTGCCACTTGTCAGATACGAATTTGGTGTTTTGTTAAAAGTTAGAGTGCCTGGAATGATAAATGTCCATAGATTTGCCTTACTTTATCAAACACCTTTAACTTTTAGAATTAGACAACGACTTTGGCTTAAATGAGTACATTATTAATAAATCACACTATTCTCTTTAGACAAAAAATGTTCACAAATCAGCTTCTGCACCCAATGGAAGGCATTCAATTTTTAAATATTGCACGAATTTTTAAAGAAATATTGGTAAATATAAGGGAAAATCCTTGTAAAAAAACTCTTACTAGCTCAGCATAATTTCGCAGACTAACCGCCTGCTTTCCAACTTGGGTACCGCTGTTGGAACTATTTATTTTGGAAACGAGGGTGCGGGTTATTCCATAGTTAGACCGTTTTAGGCCTAGGTGTTACGAATGAGGCCTCTTTAAACGTCATTGTCTATTAAAAAACGTCAAGCAACCCAACTTTAATCCTTTTCAGGTGTCGTGAGGGTTGGGAGGGCGACGCGTGCGATCAGTGCATCCCTTTTCCAGGCTGTACACACGGCACATGCAAATTCAATTTGAGCCTGGGACACCATGAGCCCTTTACTTGCGAATGCAAACCCGGTTGGAGTGGCATGCTCTGCACAATAGGTAAGCCTGCTTTGGCATTACTTCCCTCTCCCTCGTCGTTAACGTCAACACATCCATGATGGCTGACTTCTCCCGCCTTCTGGTTCTACCAGCACGACTGCTAGAAAGATAAGCAGGCATCACCAGCATAGGCGACTTTCGCTAGAACACTCCACCCTTTGAACGCAGTTTCTTTAATGCCCGACTCCACTTTCACGTAACTGGGGTAGGGCCTGATTTCAAAGGACCACTGCGCATTCCCATTTCAGATACACAGTATTGTTCGAATCATCCGCACACCTGTCTAAATGGCGGAGTGTGCCACAGCACCCCGACAGAAACCCTGCCTGGTTACACGTGTCAGTGCCCGCTGGGCTACGAGGGCTACCACTGCGAAAGCCCCAATCAGGATTGTCGGGTCTACCGGTGCAGCAGTCACGGCATCTGCCAGGTAAATACGTGTTGATAATTGGACGACTGTAAAGCAAGGTGTATTTAGTCTTTCCGAGTAAACTTTTATTGTGTTGCGATTAATACTTTGAGTGATGTTCGCTGCAAATATCCCACCTGTGTGCTCACTTCAGACTAATGGAGACTGTGCGTGTTTTGACGGATTCTACGGTCCAAATTGCCAGTTCAATCAGACGCACTGTTCGCAGCATCCATGCCAAGGGAGCCAATCACTTTGCATTCCCCTGAATAACACCACGCCACAACCTGCAAATGCTAAAAAAATCATCAACTACCGCTGTGAATGCCAGGCCGGACTTACCGGTAGGAATTGCGAACTCAAGATACGACATTGCGATTCGCGGCCGTGCCTACATGGTAAGCTATTTGCTAACAAGCTTTCTACTTAAACATTTCTAAGTAAGAAGCAAGTCTCTAAATTCACTTTCTTTAATTCTTACAAATTCCTAATGAAAACCACAGCACAAGGTAATCAGTGAAGGCCGATATCGATGAACACAAAATATACTTAAGCATAAAGAGGTAAGCTGATTCAGACTTATGTAAAACCTTCACATGTACTAAACGCACGTCCCGTAAATGACGGGTTGGCAAAAAGGAAAATTAAACTTTATTTTAATGCAGTCAAGGCAATTTAATCCATCACAGTTTTTAAAAAAACTCGGTCTGGTGACCTTTTGTGACCTTTCTGGGAACTTCATGATTCAGCACTCACAGAACTTGAAGTCCTTTTCAGCATTTGGCGGATTTGGGCTCTCATCAGTGGTGCACGGTTTGACAATCAAAGAGGTCTGCACACCCTACACTGACGGTGCAGGTCACGTAACTTCCAAGCCATGCCACAATAATTTACCGCAAATCAGAAAAGATGGGCAAGGCAGTGCATTGTCACAAAGAAACCGGATTTAGTCGCGATTTATCAATTCTGAACGTTTTTTCATTGACTGCGGTTCAAGTTATTTGTTGAAAGCAAACATCTGAACGGTTCAACATCTGTCGCATCTTTGCATTTTCACCGCAGGCCAACTCTCGATGCAATTCGTGTTAGCTAGCTTAATGACGTTTTAGCCGAGAAACCTTAATCTTTCATGTCGATTTGCTGTAAGAAAGGGACGATACAAAGCGTTATGCATTCGTATGGCAAAAACTGAGTGGGTGCAATTTATTTTATTCATGAGAAACACATACATTGAGATTGTCACATGGAGCAGGACGTTTTAAGGGAATTGTTGTGTGAGATACATTTAGCCCCACTACAGTCCCTTGCATGGCTTATGACTTAAACTAAATTTTGGCTTTATCGTAAGTGTCGGCGGGAAATCTCGGGAACAGAAGTCCTCACCGATTCTGGCTGGTATTTTTCACCTAAATAATCAACTCTTGGCTATTTTCGCCATCAAAAAATAGGAAAATTCAACTTGTCGAAAATGCTTGATTTTAACTCCTTGCTAAAGTTTGTTTTTGGGGTCCGTCAAGAGTGACATCTGCTGGACGTTGGATGGAAACGAATCCTATCACTATTAAGGATAATTAAACACAACATTAATTTCTAGCCAAACCAATTTCTTTTCCTAAAATAATTTTTGGTACAATCGAAAAGCTTAAGCGTTAGAGTAGAAACCCTTTAGTTTGTCTATTAATGTATACTAAAGTCTGGATTTTGAGACCAAGGTCATCAAACGTTGCCAAAGGTTGGTGGAACATACTTTACACATTAATTTGACTTTGGGTCATTTTTGTTAAATGGAGTTCGTGTTTTCAAGCATGTTTATTGTCAAAATACTTTGCTATGACTATTTAATTTCAAGTAGCCATGTTTTTAGGGCTTATGTAGCGATTAAGACAGGTTGAAGCCATTTTTTTACAAACAACCTGGCAAAACCATTAATTTCAAGCCAAAAAAAACATATAATTTGCACACTTTTTAACCTAAACTAACTGTTATGGATGTTTGGTGGTGCAAACCAAACCAGAATAACTGAATAAATCATGTTTGTTCGAGAATGTGGACTACGCAAATTACATATACTGTAAGTTGTTATAACAAAACCTGGCGCTATTCAGGGGCACACATTAATACAACCTCAGATTTCTTGCAGTACACTATTCGGTATGTCTAATATTAAGTGCAAGGAAATGTTTAGTCTATTTTAATAAATAAAATTAACATCTCATTCTTCCACCTGACGTTTAAGTCATTGTTCTGGTCGATTAAGGGCAGGAGTGACGACAGAAACAAAGCAGTCTCAAAACTCTGTACCTGGAGGGGCGTAACAATGCAATTCTCCAAAAATAGGCTTTTAAACTGTGTGAATTTAATCAAAGGCCATGCCCGTGGAAGTTCACTCCTTGAAATAGCCACATGAAGTATTAGGCCGTGGTTTTACTTAGATCAAAGCTGCTTTTTAAGAGGCCGCGCGTAGGACTCAAGTTAATTGCTTAAATAGGACAGAAGTCCTGGTTGAAGGTGTGTCAGAATTGTTGGTAAAACTCCGTGAAGCCTGTAAAATGCCACATTTTCTCTCGTTCCTCATTGACATCACGCTTAAAAATCAGTTTGCAAATGGTGGTGGAACTTGAATTGAGGTGCCCTCACTTTTTGACCTTAAAGACTAAAATTTTTAAGACGCGGGATAGACAAGTTTCTTGTTTACTGTCAAAGACACCAAAATATCAATTTACATCAAATACTCAGCAAAGGCAAGCATTTTTCATTCACGTTACTTCGTTGCCTTAATTGAAAGTCAATGTGTTTCGTACGATAGCAATAAAAAAATTATACTTGCGATTCGCACTTCAAGTTATCAGGGAAAGATGCGTGCTTTGACGATTCGACCGTGTGGTTGCGAATTTGTTCACAATTAATTAATTCGAATTTATGGCAGTCAAGCTGCTCCCCGAATGTTCCATACATCATAACCATTACAGACAGCATCGGTAGATGTTGCCAGAGGTGACTATGTATATAGGTGGTTGGCGTCAAACAGTCACCTATACTGTGTGTTCATTAATCGGCGAGCAATTAATGGCTCGTATAACATTCAAGTTTCAAGGGAAATATACATAAGTACAAATCTGCCAGCAACATTGGTAATGCTTGCTTTAAATAGTAAAATAGATTTGATCTACGTAAAAGTAGCCTTGTCGCAGATCTGTTTTCGCATATTTTCTTGACATTTAAAAGGATGAATTTATTTCAGATATAAACGCGCCACTTAGCTGAATTTGACATGCTCGTGGTTTTTCCATAATGCAGATGGAAAATGCGTCGAATTGCAGTTGGGGAGTGATGGATACCAGTGTATTTGCCTGCCTGGTTTCCGAGGCCGTCATTGTGAGCTGCCAAACTCTGCCTGCCAGCACCTGCCTTGCGCTAACGGCGGCCAGTGCGTGGATCGGGCGAACCGCGTGGAATGCCACTGTCCCGCTGGCTGGAGCGGTCCCACTTGTCGTCAGAATGTCAACGAATGCAAAAATCCAGTCTGCAAAAATGGTGCCGCCTGCCGCGACCACCCTGGGACCTACGAGTGCCTCTGTGCCCCTGGATGGACTGGCCAGGACTGTGACATCCCGACTTCACTTTACAATGTCTCTGACGCCAATAGTACGACTGCTCGACCAGGTTGCATTTCGTCTTGCGATGACACTGTATGGCAACAAGCCACTATCATTCGGTGCGCAGTCATTGGTTCGACTGCCATCCTTCTGACAATCACCCTCATTTCCTCCTTGCTGGTTTTTCTGCGTCACAGGGCAAGGAGGCACAAGAAACCAGGTTTAGAGGAGATACACAGACCAGTTTTACAGTCACGGACGCAACAAGTTTATTGGAACTCCACTATGATGCCAGAACGCTTCCTCATGTACCCATCAACGGAACCTGTATGCCAAAAATTCCATCCGTCTGTAAAGGAGAGGCTTAATGTGGAGAAGGTCCAGCATTATGATCATGCGACTCTGCATCCAACCAAAGGTATGAGCGCAGAGGTCGCGGTTACTGGACCACCAAGGTTTCCCACATCAAGTCTGCCAATATCCCACATTGTTCCCTTGTGTTCTCCCAGTGTGCACCATGCAATTGTCTATACATGTCAGACGCCACCTCCCCCTTATGAGGATTTAGTCCATGCTAATAGCAGTATGCGGAAAAAACACCAACGCAAGGCGTAGTCGCCTTCTTCCCTGTACCCTTCCCCAATTCCTTCAACTCACTTTCACTAACACATGTACAAAGGATTTACAGTTTGCTTGTGACTTTTGTCTTATGCGCTCGAACGAAGGCAATAAGTGCATGTGCTTAGTTTTTTAACCGCCTTCACTTTGTACACAATTTTAATGTGCTAATCAATCATACGTATCCACTTTATCCTTCATGATCACAATCTAACCAGTCAACCCATTCTCATTTGGACCTTGAATTGCCAAATGGAAAATTCGTATGGGTTCTCGTTAATTAACGGTAAAAAATGAGTCTTCTGTAGGTCCACACAAGCGCTAAATAAAAGAAAATAGAAAAACTTCCAATTTGTAGTTTCTTCGTTTTCTGAGAGAAAATAAAGAGTATTTAAAGTGTAAAATTTCCAACATTATTGCTACCTCTGCATTTAAGATAAAAGTGTTAAAACACTCATTCACATGAAAGCCAAGAATTGACACTAAGAAAATTGGGTGAAAGCATTTAGCACTTATAAACCACTATTATTGTGTAACAAATACCATCTTGCTCTTACATTATGCAAAAATGTAATTATAATTCTATGGAACGCTAATCACAATTTGCAAAATGTGCATTAACCCAAAGTGGTATACGCTGTTGATCGTTCCGGATCGTCATTTAATTTAAAGGGATCCGATGTTGTTTTTCAAATGATAAACTTGATTTTTTGTAGACGGCTATTTTCCTTGCTCCAAAATCCATCAAACTGCTTTAAAACACATAAAAAAGGCCAGAGAGACTCATGAATAGCCGATAAGTGACAGAGGAAAGTTGTTTATATAATCGTAGCACAACTGCGATATTTGTGAGCAGCAAGTAGGATAAGAAGTGGTAACATAATAATAAAACCTGCCTTAGCATTTTTTTTCTTAGGAGTTACATATACACCGACCCTCAGTTAAAACTTAATATGCTTTAAAGTTTCTAGAAAACAGGGATATGGAGGATAGCTTTCTAAGTAACAACGTATAGGAAACATTTGCACTATTTCAAAAGTGAATCTACCTGAAATGTTAGGACTGACTTCAAAATAAGTAAATTGACAAGAACCACCAGGATCATTAAAAATTAAAAACATCCAACATGGTTCATAAGTTTTTTTCCGGTAAAGAAGTTATGATTTAAGGGAAATTAACCACGTATCGCACAACATAGTATTTTAAATGCGAAAGAAATTCCAGTCAGATTTCATAACCCCTGCAGTATGGGTGGATATGTATGTTCTCAAGAAATTAAAATTTTAAGTTATTTAGCTAAGGGTAATGGGGTTCAAACATTAAAGATAAATCTAAAGGAATTAAGATATTTTAGGGACCTATATCTGTGAAATTCTTATTGAATATATCGTTAATACTCAAAACAAAGATTCCACGCTATTACCAATTGTTTTTGGTCAAATAATACTTTATTTATATCCAGTTGCTGCGTTTATATAGGACATTTTATTTTATTTTACAAAATTCCAAAAATTTGAAATAAAGATTTGTTTGTGAAGAATAATTGTCGCAAAATAATTGTACAGTAACTTGCAAGAATTTTAACAGTAAGGAAAACTAATCAGAATTCTAACTTATCCGTTTCTTAAACCCCTAAGCTGAATGATGATCCCTTCAGCCTCTTTTACTGCGCTGAATTGTTGCAACACTGTCCAAATATATTATGAAAGTTCAGGTTTTTTATCGGTATGGGGAGTAGTATTGGGAAATCAGCGTCTTCAAAAGATGGCTCAGTAAAGACAGAGATGTCTTCAAACTCCAATCTACAATCTGATGACATCTCCGTTGGAGGTGCATGTGCCGCACCTTTTTCCGGTTTTTTATTATTATCTGTAATCATTTTATTTTAGCTGAAAAACAAATACTTCCATCAAAAACGAGTTTTAATAGTCCTGGGCCGGTGGAGCAGTGCATTATGATTGTGCTTTATGATTTTACTGCTACTTTGGAGTCTCAACTCACCGTAAAACGAGGTTAGTTGCTTTAATCGCGCTTAGATTTGAGCAGAATAATATTTACAACATTTTTACTACTCTTTTGCACTTTTTTCCTCACTCTGAATTCGCATAATTAATTTCGCAAGTGAGAAAGCCGTGGTTCTTGGAATAAGCGCCTTGTAGCACTACAAATTCAACCCATTTTTTCCAGTTACATCGATACCTGTAACTTTGGCAGACTTGTAAAATAGCATTCGACTCCTGTTGGATTTTTTTGTTTTTGACTGTTGACTGGTGTATAATATCTTCGATCGATCTTCTGGTGTTGCCTAGTGTCACTCTTGATCTTTTTTGCTGTAATGGGCAAAATTAATCCATTCCCAGTTGCTTCAATTGTTGTCTGCTCATATTGTAGCCCTTTTAGTTAATTGTATTCAGTTAGTAAGTTATTCTGATCCCTTTCACCTACTCTTACCTAATATGCTGCTGCGTGCTAAATAAATCACTTTCAGCTCGTCGCAGTTTATTGAATTTTTGGAAATGTCTATCTGCTACCATCAACTCTAAAAATTTCCTTTTTTATCGTCGTCATTCTCTCGCCTCTTTACCTTCTTACCATTCATTCGTAAGTCTTCACGTTTCTTTTTTTGCGCATCAGTCGATTTAATTTCGTCAAGCCTTTCTAGTTAACCCTGATGCGTTTGACTCGGGGTACAACCATTACTTTACTGCTACTACTAACAGATATTATATAAGTGGAGGAAACCGAAAGTCAATTCTCTTGTCCCATCCTCAGGCGAACTTGTGCGCCTCCTGGGTTATAGTCCGGCTGGTGATTGGTCTGAAGTTGAGGCTCCGTACCGGCTGCCCAATAGAACTCCTCGTGTAGCCTGGGGAGGTGTGGGGAGTTGGGTACGAGGTTGGGTTCCCACTAGCTACCTGACGGAGCACGTAGCCCCTTGTGGTGGAGGTGTCGGCGACTACCAGCGGGACGAGGTGGCCTATCCTTGGTACCATGGCGCCGTCTCGAGACACGCGGCCGAACAACTCCTTCGCAGCGGCATAACTGGCTCCTACCTCGTGCGAGAATCCGAATCAGCGCCGGGTCAGCTCTCTGTTACTGTACGCAATCTAGGCCGAGTATACCACTATCGGATTAGCAGGGACTCTTCTGGATGGGTAAGTAAAGGTCTTAATATGCATTTGTATTTCTGCTTTTCCTTTTTTTAATTCTTTTACCTTGTTTCTACTACATAGTTCCCCGTACACAGCGTTTGTATGTTGCCATATAACTTTCTATACCTCATTATATTCAAACTGTTCAATTTATTTCCTGATTTATGCTTCATTACTTTGCAATATCGTGACCAAATGCATCTGTTTTCCTTTTATTGAATTTGCTCAAGTGACTTGGTACCTTCTTTTTAATTTGCTGTGGATGTACTAATGTAAAGTGCCATAAAAGCCAAATCCGGTAAACTTACACAACCTTACTTTTGCCAATAATGCTTTCTTGCTTAAGTTTCAGTAAGGGATTGCAGTCATTGTACCAATAGAGCCCATTTTTCTATCATACCATCATTTGACTAAAAAGGTGCAGTAAATGCATACCATCCTGCTACGGTTTGATCGAAAGCACGCCACTGTTCTTGGTAAAAGTGGTAGAAATAAGTTGTATTCGTGAGAAAAATTTGATTGGTTTTGTAGGTCGGCCTCTCATGTGCCCCCCTTCCTCCTCCGAGTAATGGCTTCACGTCCACCCCTTGTCGGGCTTTTCGTCCCGTAATACCCGGCAATGTGTTCGCAAACCTCATGGTGACTCACACATTCCGTGATTTGCCCATTTTCGCATTCCTCATCTTTCCCGATGACCACAGCGGTGAACAGAAAATGGCCCTTAACGACCATTTGTCTCTAAGCCATAGTCATTCAGTCTTGTTTGCAAGGCAGGTGTCTGTAGCTCTAGGATAGTGAAGGCTTCGTATAATCCACCCAACCTGCACAGTAAACGTTAAGGCATGTCGTTGGATTTCACCATGGCTTACTAAAGATTCCCCTATCTAAAGTTGTAGTAAACCCCTCAAGTCTGTGTGCAAATTGTGCCGTTTTGCGCAACAGTTGTCGCAAATGAACCGTGAGTCACCACATCTGAGGGAAAGCTGTTTTTTACTGCAAAAGTGATCACTGGTCACTGTTTTTGGTCACTAACAGTTGGCCAGTTGTTTTTTTGTGGTGGTTGTAAACCTTGAATGTTAAGACATGAAGAAAATTCAGATTACTTTGAAAGGCGTGCAGTGGTAACATTTAAGTTGCATTCTACCACTAACGGCTGTGTTAAGGGTACAGATTTATGTTGAAGAATTTCCTTTTACTGAGGTGGGATTGAAAAGTGCACCTCGTAATTTACCTGAGGCAAGTTTTTTTATTACCTAAAAACACCAATCAGCCTGATTAGGGGATGCTCTAACAAGGTTGTGTGGACAGGTCGAAAAGTTCGTTGTATTAGGGATGTTACGACGCCAATCAAATCAGAGTTCTTTTAATGTCCCTGCTGCCTTGTCCAGTTGGATGAACATTTGACCTCAACCAACTGACCTCGGCGTTTTAAGGATTGGAGGCAATCTGCGAGGCGTGCAGATGTTTGTGTGCGTCTTGCTTTTTACGGCCTCTAAACATGGGACTCTTTAAACCATTGTGTGGAAAATCAACCAAAAAGTCCTTGCTTCATGCATGCACAATGTCAGTGTTTATTGTAGTGGCAACGAAGTTAATTCGCATTTCGACGTGGTTTGTCCAGTGTGGCTAAAAGGTAGTGGTTAATTTGTAGTGGGTCCACTCAGCCCTCAGCAACTTCACAGCATGGCTTCTTTAAGACCTTCGCGACTTTCCGGTAATTAGTATTTGGAGTGATTTTGCAAGCAGACGCATTTTAAATCGAGCCTATCAAATGATGGCAAGCTTGCATGGAGGAAATCCGCTGGGATTTGTTCGTAAACGCCACCCACGAGTCGTTGGGTCGTTTTATCAGCAAGCGCGCAAGCGGATTTCGACCGTTTGTTTAAAGGTCGGTGTCCATGTAGCTGTCGGTTTCAGTGGTGTTTTTGGGCAACCGAATTTCTTCTTCACTGCACCATTACTGATGCGTGTAAATTGATCAGCCAACCGCTTCATTTTGACTTAACCACTGTTATTGGACGGTTCGCGTGCCACTCACGACACCCAAGGCCTCTGCCTCGTAGATTGCGTCAAATTGCGATTACACCGTGGTGAAAAAAGTCCCAGAAACTAATTTTTGATCCCGCTTAATACTTCTGGGCACTTAGTTTAAGCGACCTAAGGGACATCAATTACATATTTCTCGCAATCAGTGACTTGCTTAAATAATCCGTAAAACGTTATTTTCCAGTCTGTTTGATACAATCATGGAGTCATTTTGTGTCTCGGCAAATGAGTCTTGCCATCTAAATCGAATATTTTTTAATGGCGACGGTTATAGTAGCTGTTTCGTTTAGCACACTGACAATAAATTCTGACGTCGTAGTGAATGATATTCATGTATGTGTTTCCGTGTTGTATGTAGCTTTTATCGTTGGCGCCATCCAACTACCCAAACAAACGTTAAAATGTTCATCTAAATATAGTGGGCGAATAATTTTTTGCTGCCTTGCAACCGCTCTTTCCATGCTGCACTTTTGGTAGCTTAACTTCAGCCATCTAAGGATCCACGTTACAATCTGGCTAAAAAATATCTCGTTCACACTAGTCGTGTGTAGGTGGCCTTCAAAACATAGCCCGCCGTCCGTGTTGTATTCAGGAGCAGAAACCGTAACAGGCAGATTCTCCTGAGTGCTAATATTTATGGAAAAATTAGGATAGACAGTGGTGTGTGAGCGTCGTACCACTAGCTAAATTTCGCCTAAAATATTATTGCAAAAGTACCTCTCTATGCCAGTAGGGAAATTCGTCAAACCACTAGAATTCATAGTGCGAATTGGGACAGTTGTTCAGTAGCAGGGACCCGCAAAATTTAATTTTAAGTTATTAGTTCTGTTTGAATCCAATAAAGAGACCAGTTTACTGACAGAGGAGGCACTTTTGATGGTTTTGAAAACTGTAGTCTTGGCAGCAGCAAGTTCAACGTAGAAGTGTGCATTTACAACGTCGGATGGGCATGTTGTCAGTTGTGAAGGTGACAAGTCTGAATGTGCCCAGCATTCCAGGTCTGCGTGAGCCAGGTTTATTGAGGGTACTTCAGGGAGTCCAAACAGCGGCGGTGGGAGTGGTAACGGTGATGGAGAAAGAGGACGAAGGAGGGGGGGTTAGCGACGTGAGCGATTATGCCAAGCACAGGTCCTCACGTCACCGTGAATTTGCGCTGTCGAGACGACGAACATCATTAGCAAACTCGTGTTCGGTAATGCCAAGGCTGTCCGGCGCAAAACCAGTCTTTGTGCGATGCCATATCATTGCGTTACTAGGCTTCCTTCGTGTTGACATTCTCCTCTATTCAATGGTTTTGCTGAGATTCCAAAAGCTCACGAGTCTGTCGTAGATTGGTCTCACAGACACAGCTTCTAAGTTGGTAGTGAGGCTTACCGACGACGCACCTTTGGTTGTGCTCACAGTTCAGATTTTTGTTTCATTGTTTCCTGCATTTCCGGAAACCCAACAACGTAGGTGTACCGTATCAAGCCCATCTACCACTGCGGCGTGCACAGACAAGTAGGAGTAATAGCAAGATAGCCTAAATTGGGACGTTCCTTAAAGTTAGGAGCTAATTCATTTAGCCATTTCGATTTGTGGCTTTTTGATAAAGATTTTATCTCGGAGGCATACACGAGAGCCAGTGACTGGGCCCCCATTCCATTCCTTCTCACATTTTCGCTGTGGGTTCCAGTCCTGCTTAATGGCGTCTATCCGCGCGTTAGTGAGCTCTTCAGACCAACTTGCTCAAGTTTCTTCTGCGAAAAACGCCTTCAAGTTGAAAGTATTCCTATGCTCATTGTGCCGTTTTCATGCCTGTGCTCAGGTGAAAACAATGACAGAAGGTGCAAAAGCGAACCGTTTGCTGCAAGACTGCTCGTCACGTAGTAAGAGTGTACGAGGTCTCGCATGCCTGCAACTCCCAGACGCGCACAGGGCAGTGTGCGTTGGTAAACTCACTATTGGTCGGGTGGCGGATAGAACAAACTGTGGTCCATTAAATACAGAGTGGTTGAACCAGGAAAAGTTGCTTGCGTTAATTTACAAAAATTGCTCCACTCGCTTTACTTCTAGTAATTATACTCTTGCGCGCTCCCAAGATTGATACCAGCGTCTGAACCATGTGGTGGTGCATAAGTTTTGCTGGTGTGTAGTGAATAGACAGGCTACTTGTAGTTGGCTGGTCCTAAGTTTCGCTGCAAAAGTTTCATTTACTTGTATCCCTTTTCAAATAATTCTTAAATGTCCTGATTTGCGTAGTTTGGTAGGTTGGTTTTATCTCTTTGGGTGCATTTTGGGTTGATTTCGACTAGCATACCATAAACCGACGCGAAATTAATCTCAGTTCCGTGTGTGGATTGGGTGATAATTTTATTCCAGACCGCTGGATATAAAGAAAGGTCATCGTCGGTGTGTGTGTGTAAAAAGCACCTGCCCGAAGTAACTTTTGTAAATCCTACCGTGAAGCCCACGTAAAACATTACAACCTGTTTCGACAGTTAATTTGGTCGGAATGAAGTAGATGCCTAAACAAAGCCATCATCCCATTTCAGTGCATTTAAGTCAAAATTGACTAGTTTGCTTCTTCCCCTATTATGTGTGACGATTTTCCATGTTACTGCCACCTAAATTCGAAACAACCCCTCACACGAGTACTGTTTATTGCTAAAACTAATTTTTGAATTGGTTGTCATTGTGGCTGCTTTTTACGCGGTTCAAACGCCCACGAACCCAATAGCGAAACGGCTTTTTTTCTTTCTTCCGTAAAACGAGCCAAGCACATTGAACCCTTCTACCAGAAACAACCCGGGGCTAGTGGGATGGGCTCTTGTAAAAATCCCATGACAGATTTTGCAAAATGTTGCTACTTTTCCTACAAAAGACCACGAGTCTCGCGTCCCCCTCGCCTAGTACGCTAGGGTGGTGGCATTTGCTCTGGCCCGTGCTCACCCACCTCCAGCAGTTCTGAATGAAGGTTGGCACTTTTCTCTTGGGTATTCCACGTTTAACTTACAAAATATGCAATCCTTTGTCAGGTTTAGCATCACCTGCGTCCCAGTAAGTGTTTTAATCATCTGTTTATCAATTCAGTTCCCTCAAGACTGCGTTTGTTGGTTATTCTGTTAAATGTTTTTGCTCCCTGGATCGTTTGACACCCAAAAAAGCTCATTGTCCGCCATAACTGCTCAGATTGTTCCATAATTTTACTTGTTGGCCTATTTATTTCCTTGGAAAATTAAGGTTTTATTTGAGAGTCGTGGTTGTGTGGGTTGTGAGTTGAATTCTGTCGTGTGGAGCGTCTTTTCCCGTCCTTCGTCGCTCCGTCTGTTAGAGTTTAAATTGCCCCGGTCGTATTGTGTGACTTGATTCTAGCCAACACTCTTTGCCGTACGGCCCTCCGCGCGCGCCACCTTCACTCTCGCATTCTGGCGTGATTTTATTCCTCTCGTCAACTTCACCGCCCCTCGTTCTGCGTAGATTAACTATTCCCCTTCTGTTCTTCTCGCGGCCATTTTTTGCCGCATTCCCATCTTAATTATCCCACCAGTTAATCTGAATATGTCTCCTCTTGTATAATCATGAAATTTCGCCTTTAAGGAACTTCTAAGTATTATTATTTGGATTCTGCCTTAGCCTAGGCGTTCGACTGACATGTATGCGCCAACCTTATTCCAGTAGTCCATTTATAACCAGTTGACTTTCGATGCTTTAATTTACGATAAAACGAAGCTTATGTCATTTGGGTCACTAATAGAGCTTCAGCAGGGGAAAAATTTCACACAATATGTACCACTAACTGGCGTATTTCTATTGGCTAACGTATCTACCCTGATGTACACTTGTCCCATTTGTTCGTAAGCTGCCGCCCCCCGCCCCAAACTGTCGCTCCCGGAACGGTGTGTCACTAGTCAAAAGCAGCTTCCGTAATGGCCTTGAGTAAATACACAGTGAGCCTTTGCAGTACCCGTGTCTGGCTTAAGACCGATCTTTTCTGCCCTCAGTCGCCTTTGTGTACCTCAGCGGCAGGCGACGCAGACTTCCGCAACGCCAGTGCAATTGGCGTCGTGGATCGATCACGTTACCAAACCAGAGCAGTGCCATTTGTACATGCATAATAGGCTGAAATTATTTCAAATGTACAAAGGCATCGCCCAGATTATTAACCGTTTGATACGTTTAAAATAACACAGTGTTTTAATGAATGCTTTTGGGTATTTTCAACTGAAACTAACTACGCTTGGTTCATTTCGGCGTCATTTACTTTACACAATTCGTTCATGTGTCTTGTAAACTGCGGCAAGACTTCCCTCTAGGCAATGCGAATGACCTTTTGACGAATGTAATTTTTAGCTAAATGAAAAAAAAGCGTATTTGTGTTTTCTTATTAACACTTGTCTTCCTGTCCACTTTCCTTGTACAAGCGCAGCATGCCGAGCAATCCAACATAACTGGTCTTAGGCACGCCAGGTTTCGCCATCTGTACTCCATGTTCCAGCTTGGTAGTTGTTTTTACGAAATCGCATTCGTAGCCCGAAATCTGTGGCGTAATTCAATTTCACACTGGAATGCACCTTGAGTAAGCGTGAATGCTCCTCCCTGGTGTGGGCACAGCGCTACCTTTGTGATTCAACCGCACAAGAATTTTGCTTAATGCTTTTTTGTCGAAGTGGCCAGAACATGTGCAAATATCTCTGTACCCTCTGGTATGTCTAAGGTATTTCACCTACGTTTTTGTCCGTGTCATTGGGTTCCTCCAGCTTCTACTGCAATATTCTAAGTTTCGCGTCGAATTCATGATTGTTGGCTCAACCTTCATACTTATAGTGCATTGTTAAAAAAAACCTACTCCCCAGGCATGGGAATGTTGCGTAATTGCGTAGTTGAGTGGCATAAGCAATGCCGGTAATCGGCCGAATTTGCTCGGTATGTGTGCTCTAATTGCTAAACAACGCAAAGTGCATGATGGGGCTGGGTTCTAGTCCCATTACTTTAATTTCCACAATTCCCGTTTCTCCACGTCGGGCATCTTATTGGTTCTTCTCACACCCCTGATTTCTCACATCTTGACAGTTCTTTTTTCCTTCTTTCCTTTAGTTATCCCCATTATCCTCAGCTTTCCCTTGTCATATCCATCTTCATCGACTGCGTTTCTTCCTTTTGCTAAGACACTTCCGACCACTGTACGACCCTTTGTGCCGTATTTCCTCCCTTTATTCAAGTCACCCACTCTTAACTTCGACTCTTCTTCTCCGTCACTTGCTATCGAGCTGTTGCTTTTCTTCATGTTTATGACCGCCCCTATTCCCACCCTCCAGGCCTATTTATTCTTCTCAATTTCTACATTTAAATTCACCAACATACCTCGCTCTGTACTGCTTTTAACTTGTTTGCTTTCGTGTGTTCGTTGGGTTTTTTGGTACTTTTCCGAAAGATTCTAGTTCCACCTTTTTTTAGAAAAAAAAAAGACTAGATGTGATGTGAATTCTTCCTCACTGATTTGTGGCTGATTTTCTTTCAGTTTTTCATTACTGAGACGCATCGCTTTCCGACGGTTGTGCAGCTCATCCATCACCATTCGCAGGCCGCGGACGGTCTGATCTGTCCGTTGCTTTACCCCGCGGCCAAGAGGGAGCAGCCCGCCCTGCGCGGCACCATCCAGGCCTCCAGCGGCCTCGACAACTGCGGTGTGGGGCTTGACGACTGGGAAATCGACCGCTCCGAGATTATGATGCGGAATAAATTGGGTGAGTATACCACCTCTGCACTCCACTTTCAACTGAAATCCTCACTTTTATCGTATTTAACACCACACCGCTCATCCACCACCGTTTATTCTCCTTTTTTCCCTACTGCTACGTTTCTTCCATGCCCTATCTTCATATTCACTTATGATTTTGCTCCCTTTTCCCAGCATGAATGCTTAGTTTATAGGAAAGTGCCTACGCCTAGTCACCAGCATAATCTTCTTTCAGGACATCCCCAGCGTGGCTGTTTAATTTCACACAAATGGCATCTTAAAAAATAACGTTCAACCAGCACACTGCAGATAGTTCTTCCTGTGAGATCCATCAGTGTCTCCAAAGGTCATTTTTTGTAAAATGCTTTCCAACTTATTGGGTGTCATTTGTACAATCGCTTAAGCGATTCGCTCCACAAGGTTAGTGCTTATTTATGGTACACTCTGGTTGGTTTGAGGTCTAGTGGGAAATCCAAGTCTCAAACCGTCTGAGTGTGGCGTTTGTGGTCGATCGACACAATCAAATGCGCCTTTTGTCGAGTTAGGTGGGGTACTGCGAACCTCCATTTATGCTGGTACCTGTATGACTTCGAAACTGTTGACATTTTCATCACATTTGAGCAAACCTCTGGTCTCCACCCTCGTTTTCTCATCCATTTTTAAGAATTTAATTGGCATTCCCTTTTCTCTTCATCCGAGTAATTCCGGGTTAGCGATAAATGCCGAATTAGACCCAAGCCACATTACGTGCTGCGAATGGGGAAGTTTAAGCTTATTGCACAGGTCTAATTGGCTTTGGCCTTGGGAGTTCGTGCTTAACTGTGTCAACTAACTGGCAAAAGGCTCTGGAAGGAACAGGAACTCCACACATAATAGTTCTTGGAGTAGATTTTTGTTCCACCACAGTGTGTTCCAAAATCCTCTTTTTAGGCTGGGGCCAATACGGAGACGTGTATGAGGCCCTTTGGAGGCGGCACAATTCGATTGTGGCAGTCAAAACTCTAAAGGTACGTCCTTGTAACCCTCGACTAGTTCATGACGCATGCTGTGTTGCTTGCATTGCCACTTTATGTTCGAAGTTGGGGCCTATTTGCGCTAAATGTAACGAAATATTTTTCCACCACCCACCCCAAACCTAAACTGCTGGCATTGTCATAATTTCGCGACTCCTCGTTAATTTTTCGCCCACGGTGCTTGTTTGTGGAACGCGGGATTCGGCACACTGTAAATGCCATCCTCTGGAGGGACATCCAGAACCCGTCTCCGAGTTCGCCTGCCTAATGGCGTTTGCTACTTTTCCCTCGCGAATGCCGCACCCGACAATCAGACGGTCGCTCAGCGTCACTTGCGTTGAGAAATGCATTAACCCCTAGCACACTTACGAAGTGTCTCGCATTCCAGTACTTGCCCTGATCTCTGTTGATTTTCAGCTCATGCGCCTATCCTCAGTCGGGTCGACATATGCAATCACAAACATCTAAGTTCTCGATGTCCGCTAGAACTACGCTAGCCAGCTTCCTCACGTCACGGTTTTTATGCCGCGCAAGCGTCCGTTGGTGTTTAAGTTGATGTCAAAATTCACAAAATGGAGCTTTATTTTGCCATGGGTCAGAATTGACGTGCTCTGCTGCCGGCTTTTCCAAACATAATCTGCTGTGTTTTGAATAATCAGCACAACCTTGCTTGCCGTTGCTATTTTTTCTCCGAATGGCAACATATCATGTTACTTTTTTGACTTAAATCAATCTGTACACGTCGTGAGAAAGCGCGGTGCGTACTCATATTGAAGTTAGGTACTTTTTGGAAGGTTTCAACTTGAATCGTGGATAACAAGCAAAAAGTTAATCCGGACGTCCGAGGTGAATCGGTAGTAGTAAAACCCACGAGTCGGTTTTAGTTTGTTCTACCCTAAGCTGCCTCAATGTGGCAGTAACGACTAGCAGTTTTTCTCAGCTCTCTTGTTGCATACCCTAGAGCAGATTGCCTGTTTCCTCTAAACACGCTGTCCCATAAGTGTGTGGCTAGTGTATTGCAAGATGTCGGCACCCAACCCGAACCAATTTCTCCTCCCCTTTTAGCAAGACGTCAACCTTAATTTGAACGATTTCCTAGCTGAGGCCTCCATAATGAAGAATCTACAGCATAAAAACCTTGTCCGACTACTGGGTAAGTCTGTTTGGATTCGTGTATGTTAGCATGCAGGATAAGCTTAGCCGGAGGTAGCTACGCGACATTTTATTGGTTACCATCTATTCTATGGCAGAAATGACCAATAGGCGATGCTAGCGCTTCCTTTTTGTTTGTTATTTGCTATCAGCGTTTCGATTTACGCATTGTTCTGCCATTCCGTCTCCTTCCCAACTTCAACTGCTACACCAAATTCAGTCGTATTTGAGCGTTTGTAGGACGTTTTAATTTGCATGTTTGTGTGCGTATGTGTGTCGATTATCACCCAACCGGACAGCTTGATAATGGCATTGTGAGGCATGCGAATAACCCCCCCCCGTCGACAGAACGCAGTGTCGAAATTCCGCCAGTAATGTGATGTCTCATCGCCTCCACGACCTTGATATTTTATCTTTGTGTCTCTTGCCATTCCACACTTCCTGCATGAGCAGACTTTTTCCCACAGTTGGGCTTCAGGGTAAATGCCAGACGTTGTTCGACTGCGGTCTCTCGGTTCTGTGGCCGTTCGTATAAAGTAGCTGTCTGGCACCAACTTTTAAGCACGCAAATCAACAAAGCATTCTGTTTTTTCTCCATTCTAATTGTTAGTGTTTATCGTATTGTAGACGTCGTTATAAAATCATTGATTGAAGTTGGCTGAATAAAGTTGTCAGTGCGTGTATGCAAATTTAGACGTGTTTGGTAGATTTAGTGTAGCGTTGGTCCCTGTCCTTTTTTAAAGCCTACATTCATTGTTGAGCCGGTTGCTTTTCATCCAAATTATCCACCCTTAACAGGAGTTTGCACTCGGGAGCCGCCGTACTACATAGTAACCGAGTACATGCCCCACGGAAACCTGTTGAATTATTTGCGTCAACGGAGTCCCGGTGAACTGACCCCACCTGTCCTCCTGTACATGGCTGTTCAGATAGCCTCGGGCATGGCATATCTGGAGGCCAATAACTTCATCCACCGGTAAGCACTCACCCTCGTTTACTGCCTTTTCCTCATTCTCCTTCACTTCTAATCCCCCTCTCAGCTGACAATTAAAGAGTTGGTTTTCTGCTGCCTCCTTTCCGATGTTGTTATCATGCGCCTTTGTTGGCTTCGAATCCGTGGCTCGTGTTTTTGAAATTCTTTTTGCGTTTGAAGGCTTCTCGGAATGCCCAACCACAAGAGGCGAGCCCCGCTGATATTAAGTGCCTAAGCCCTCTTGAATTGTAAACGTCTGAAAATTGCAGCCCATCATTTGTCTCAGTCGGGTAAAGCTAAGGATGTCTTTCGTTTTTTAGTAAATTGTAAATGCTTATCGAATCTACCAGCTGTTTTGGCTTCAAGTGCCCGGATCTGCAGTCCATATTTGAGTTCTTCGGAAGCGCACCTGAACAAACCCGCGTCTTCTCTTTTATTGTTACGCTCCTTCATCCACCTGGTTTCAACTTTATATTACCTATTCACATTCTCCGTCTATCCCTTCCAATTCTAATGCTTCCAGAGGATTTCTGCTGTCTCTTTTGTGCTGCAATTTCTTCGATTTTTGTGAAAATGCAACCCAGAAATTACCGGTGGCTATTTGCGCTGATTCATCATCTTTGTGCGCGTAGCCTGGCTTCCGTGGGTTTTGGGCAACGCGAGTTAACAGTTGTTTCCTTTCGCGGCCGCAAGGGTGTCTAGTTGATGTTACTGCAACGTTATCTCACTTCCCCCATCTATTCCTTCAATTTCCTATAGCCGAAATCGGCTTCCAAACCACGCGTCACCCCATCGTACATACACGCACACACACACACACCAACTTGGCAAGCAACTGTGGCGGCCGCTGGATGCTGGTGTCTCGGTTTTACCGTACGGTTGCCGTTGACAACGCACAGCTTACACGGCTCGATGACCGCTCCTTGCACCCAATCACGTTTTCGGTTTTTGTCACTGAATCCAACACAAATTCGTTGCATGCCCCAAGGACAATCAAGTTTCTTTGTAGCCCACACTCGGGGTCGTTTGAGAATGTCTGGCGGTGGGTGCAGTGACCTTGGACCCAATTCACCTTGTCATTCAGTCCAATGTCCCCTGGCAAAATCTCTTCGTTTAGCATTTGCTTGGCATGAGTCAATTTAGGTGATGAATTAAGCCTCGTGTTGGAACTGAAATTAGGCCATTCCTATACTCTCAGACGAGTCTTTTGCCTCTTTGCTGGACCCTTCAACTTTGCAAAAATTTGGCAGTTGTGTGAACCTGGAACTTTCACCTTTACTGCTATCATCGGCAAGCTATGTGGGCGCACAGCGAATTCTCACAAAGCTATTGTCTATTAATTTACATAAAGAAATGAAATTCAGGCCCCTTTTTTTAAGAGAGGCACCTTTTGTTCTGTTTTATCAAATTATAATCTTGTTTTGCTTCTTCCACATAGTCATTTAGTTTCGATGATGGTAGTAGCTTGGATTTCGGTTGAGTGGATGGATGTTGCTACTGCAACTTCCAGTGTTGCGGACCATAATTCAGTTCGGTATTTTTGCGGTTGTATAGGATGAATGCTCTTTTTGGTATATTTGCTGGGGAAGTCGCTTTCGCCTTGTAGGGACTTAGCCGCTCGTAATTGCCTAGTCGGAGAGCAGCACACAATCAAGGTAGCTGACTTCGGCCTCGCCCGCTACATGCGCCTGCACGAGGACACCTACACGGCACGCAACGGTGCCAAGTTCCCCATCAAGTGGACTGCCCCTGAGGGCCTAGCCTACTTTCGCTTCTCATCCAAGTAAGCACCACTCAGGCGACTTGCAGGACTTATCATCAGCCTAACTCGGTGATGTGAAATGTGTGTGAATGTGTTTGTTTGTTTTTAACGCAAAACAGCACTAAGTCGATTTGACACGCGACGGGATTTCGTTGAAGCAGGTAGCACTTCTGCAGCCGGTCTCGAATTGTCTTTTTAATATATAGAGCTTTCTCATCCACCATTAATTGCGTCGGGGTAATTAGCATTACTTGAATTCCCCCTAGTACGCTTTTCAAACACCCTGCCGACAATCGATGCTGTTTCGTGTGAAAGGCATAAAATCGCCATCACTGTGGTACCGTGGGGAGACAAACGGTGGGGCGAAGTTGGAGGATGGCATTTTAGCAGCAATGCAGTGTCCCGTTTTTTTGGCCCTCTTAATAGGCTCCCCTTTCCCATTGTATCGCGGTCAATCTACAGACAGGAAAATTTCAAATAAAATTTTAAATATCGAAGTTTCTCTTATAATTTGCGCCTCAACTCGATCGCAGTGGACCTCTGCAGTGAAGCACATGTTATCTATTCCCTATCGGCACAGGTCCTAGCGCACGACAACGATGGTATTCTGTGGTAATTATTTACCCGATCCTCTCCTGTCGACACTGGGATCTACTCATTTCAGTAATCGTACCACACCAAAACAAATGCCCATTACTTGTTTTTTTTTATCGGTCATGCTGCGTCTTTTTAACCCGCACTGCTCTGACGTGCTCATTGGGATTTCCAAATGAATAGGCCCTCGAATGCTGCTGGCTCACAGGCCGGACTAAGTCTGCATGTTGCGTTAGAATTTGCCCATCAAAATTTTCGCCTTTCCTTAAACTGCTTATTATCAGGTGTGCTGGTAGTAATTCCTACAAGCCGCATTGTCACGCCTGCTTGTACCCGCATAAGTGTGGTCACCCTCTAGAGGTAAAAATCAGGTCAGCTTCTCTTAAAAGGTTCTAATGTGTGGATCCATGGTTCATTTTTCCGCACGCCCATTGGATGCTTAATTGTGATTGTCTGCGCCCACACCCAGGTCGGATGTCTGGGCCTTTGGCGTGGTGCTGTGGGAGCTGGCGACCTATGGGCTCTCCCCCTATCCCGGCGTGGAACTCCACGGTGTCTATCAACTCCTAGAGAAGGGCTATCGCATGCAACGACCCCACGGCTGTCCTGAGCCCGTATACAACATCATGCTGCGATGTGAGTCCCCATTTTATGTCTTTGATGACCTCAACTTGCTACGAGCGCTCGGCCTCCCTTGGAGCTAGTGCTGAATCGTCCTTCTGTAGTAATTTTGCATAAACATTCGTTTATAACTGAGTAGGTTTGAAGGCGTTATAAAATGTTGTAATGAACTAGTATGTCAAGCTGTGGAAGTGCTTGACACCTCTTTACAAAAACTTGGACCAAGGTCGGAGGCAGACGAACATTCCCTCAGATGGTCGCTTCACTGCGCTGTTTGGGGCAGCTTCAGAGTAGCGAGTTCATTCTGGTTAAGACCAGTCTTCCTACAAAGTCTCTTGTGTGTATTTTCGTCTAAGGATAGTATACTTTTTTCAATCCCAAAATACTCCTTTATATTTGTTATTACATTCGACTTCATTTCTGGCTCATGAAGTCTACCTTGAATAGGTTTGGTGCGTCGTAATTGTGGCCTGATGTTAATTGTTCGTTTCTTGTTTACAATTAAGGTACCTTAGATATTCCTTTGCATCTTCGTTGCAGTGCTCGATTATTCTGACAGCTATCATTGATAAACAAGTGTCGTTCTCAACAGCTTAAATAACACTGCATAGTCATGCCAGTCAGAATGACCGTATTTCGGACCACCACCACCTTGTTTGCAAGACTGATTGTGATTCATTCTAAATTCGCCAAGCCAAGTCATCGAATAGTGCGCTTGGTTAGCAAATTGCCTACACTGCTTGCTTTTTTGTTGCAAGGTTGGTCGTGGGAGGCTGCGGATCGCCCGTCGTTTGCTGAAGTGCGTGCAGAACTGGAGGAAATGTGGCGAACCATTGACATGGGTGAAGGTAAGTGTCTCCCAGTTTAGTAAGTGATGTTGTCGACTGTATGCTGGTCTTTCTGAGTCGTGACCCCTGCCTTCAAGCAGGTTACTTTCATCGTAGTACAGTTTAGTGATTTTATGAAAACCAAAGCCTTTATCAACTCACAAGCACAGCGGCTGCAACTAACGGTTGTCAGTTTCGTTGGATTGTGTGCGTGCAATGTGCTACCTTTATCGACAGAAATTGGCTGTATTCGCCTCCTGTGGGTCTTCATGTAACGTAGGTGGGCTCCTGGCAGCCATCTTACAGTCGTCATGTCTTATAAATTATCCCGACTAATTGTTTACAACCGTCTCTCTTCATTTTCTGTAGCCGCCACGGTTGCTTCTTTGTTTCGAGGCTGAATTACGTTTGACTTTTGTTTTGGCAAATGCGATCGTCGCCAGGGGCTAAGTATAGATCTTTCCTCCCTTTCTCGTGCCCTGGCGCTCGTTTTTTTAATCAACCGAAAGTGCGTCAATGGCCTTGATTTCAAATGAAAAGCGAAGCAAATAATGCGACATCAGCTTTCGGCACTTGTGTTGCAGCATGTTTTGCTCGACTTTTTAAGTCGTGCGAAGATTCATCAGGTGCATTCGATTCGGCACGCATTCTCAGTGTTGTTCGTACAATTTCCTTGTCAAGCGCCGGGTTCCATCTTGGTTACGTGCGAGTTTAGCCCCCTGTAGATAATGCGTTTTGGTTTTGAGAGTTCACTTCAAGTGCCCGAACAGTCCCTGTTTTACGCCACCGCTCAGAGTCCCGAGTATTTTCTCTCTGGCTATTTATCTTTTTTGACCCCCCACCCTCGCGCTGGCGCTGCCAAGCCTTCTCTGTAACCCACTCGTCATTATGCGGTAGCGGTCTCTCTTAGCCTCCTGCCTCGTCCTCCACTTGCCGACAAAAAACTGTTTCGTGGAAAAACCAAGCGTGTGAATCAATTGTCGCTCTTCCTGCTGACTAAACGTGTACTGCATTAACATCGCATGCCAAATGAAATATTGTTTGTTTAACACACACCATTAACTTGTCAAAGTAGTTGGAGATGTAATGATTGGCATAGACCGGGCAACTGCATACCTCAAATCACCGACAATTTGTTAGTCAAGAGTTTTTACGAAACGTTTAAGATTATAAAGATTAAGTCGTTCACCTTGAGGTTTTTATTTTCCCTCTGCAAAAATCGAAAAGCATTTTTTCCAGGGTGAAAGTGGGCGCTAGAAACAGGACTGTAAACTGTTTGGTGAAAACCAAATGGATGGTTAAGGCTGTCGATCAAACTGAACGAAGAAGGTCTAAAAACCGGCGTCTCTTTGGGGCCGACAATCTGTGTGACTGCAGGATAAATTCTTCGTCACAGAGACACAGCATAGACCGCTACTGTGTACTATGTCCGTGGCTCTAAACATAAATTCGCTTCAAACAAAAACCGACTATTCCTAAAGCAGTGAGCTTTTCACATCCTGGCATGCTTCGTGGTGCCTTCAACTACCATTTCGCTACCGACCAGTACCCGATTTATCGCCTGCCTGTAGACGCTGTCAGTTCAACTTTCGCACGTGTTTTCCCCTTAGGTTAGTCGTTGTATTGTTTCATCTTGTGTAATCAGCCACCTACGTTTCGAAATATGCAGTTAGTGCTATGCAGTATTGTTAACTGGCTATTAGAATGCAGGCTGATTTAACGAGAGCGTGTGAGTAGTTGCGTTCATTGGTTAACTGCACATTGTGTAGCCGTGGCCGAGGAGTTGGCGAAGCAGTCCGCACTGAGCGGCAACACGGACCACCTTCGCCAACACCCGCACTTCGCGACCGACGCCGACGCACACGCCATGGCCGCAATAACCTCGCCCCACCAGCCGGTTCAGTTGTTGTCTGGCCGGAAGCGGTCGAGGCGTCGGCACGACGCTGGTGCCTCGTCACCCTCCACGTCCACCTCTTCGGCGACTTCCGTCGAGACTGATGGGGAAGACGGCGATGACGAAAGTGAGGAGGCGCATCCACTGGGAAGTGAGCATGGTAAATACCACTTTTTGTTCTACTGGATTCCCTTTTCCCTGAACTGGCACCACCGTTTAAATAAAGGCTTCTCCTTGTCTTTGCCCATTTGGTTTGCCTTTTGTTGCTGCAAAGTCAAGTGACACCAGTGCCTGGTTTTGGCTTCAGCGTTTTCGTGTAGAATTTTGACCAAGACTCGTGCCGAGGCCCTGGCGGGTCGGGCATGCATGCTGCGAATAAAAATCTGCTTCAAACAAAAACAGGATATCCCTAAAACAGTGGACTTTCCACATCCTGGCATGCTCCGTGGTGCCTTCAGTTTATCTCGCTAACTTTGACACGCATCACCGCCGACCGCCTCGTCAAATCGAATGACGCTTTTTCCACTACGGCATCTCCCTTGGAGGCTAGGTCAATTTCTTAAAAAGGTGCTTTTACTTAGGCTCACAGGTACACTTAAAACGGTAGTGCTGACAACTGTCAATATTGTATAAGTATTTCAAAAGAACGATGTCCAAGGCACACACCGAAAGTGGCATATTCAAGGGCCTAGGACTGCTGATATTTGTGGTGCTCGTTTCTAAGGTAGGCGAATTAACAGTGTGTAATTGTTCTGCGGCGCCTTGGCCCTCACCTCCGACACACAAGTACTGTCAAAAACGAAGTTCTGCATTCCATGCGTGTAACTCGCCTAATTCTCTCTGTCACTGTCTAACCCAATCCCCGTTTTAGTTGTGCCCACCTCCCACTTTCTTTGGCTTATTATTCTTCTCCTTTTGCTGGCATCACCTAATTGCTTCCGTTGCGTGAGCCGAAATCTACGCTTAATTTTACTATCGGCGCTGCCACCATTGAGTTTCACCAGCATTGATCAAATATACTGCATGACATTTCAGATCAGTCGTCTCATCAAGTCACGTAATTTCCTCACGTCGCCAAGTCTGTTCTTTTTAACTTTTTATTCATGACGCTTTTCATGACACGCCTTAAACTTTTGTCTTCCGGTCCTCTTGCCCTCTTCCCTTAGCCTCTCTATCTACACGCCTTCAAGCTCCTCTTCTCCCACTCTCCTAGCCTTCCTGCATTTTAATGTTACTTCTGCTGCTATCTATCACTTCTATCAACCGTCCCTTCTTAGGTGTTCACAATTCGGCATCCAACTGGAATGCGACAAGAGCGTGTGGAAATTGTTATCAGGGCGACTACGTTGGTGGTGGCAGCGGCAGTGGTGGTGGTGGCGTTGGGGCGCCGGCCTCGGATTTGCCCCTGCCCACTGCAGGCTCGTCGTCACGTGACAGTCAACTCTCCGCTCCCGCGTGCCTGCCGTCGCCCCAGCAAAGACCCGCCCCCCACGCCTACCACGGCCTCCATCAGCATCCACATCGCCTTCACCACCACCGCCAACAACAACAACAACACGTGGATTTTGGTCGGGTCGCGCCTCGACGACGTGGCCCCAGTCATGCACCCAAGCGACCTGGTGAGTCCACTCGTTGCTGCTACCGGCGCCACGCCGTAGACGTACCTCCCAGCATGTGCCCCTGGCTTTCCTTTCATCGACTGACCGCTTCTTTCTCCCGCATCACATTTTCCGTGAGCGTGATTAAGTCATGAAATTGCATTTGGCGTGTGTGTGTCCCAGTTTTTCGAATGGTGTGAGATCTGCTAGGGCCACGTTCGAACTAAACGGAACATGCCACAGTCGTTTCTATTAATCCCAAAAGTTAGTCTTTAGAAGTTCCCTCATGAAATACCGCAGTATGTATGATATTTTGCGTGTGATTAGCGCCCCTCTCATGCGCCCGCACGACCAATGCCCTCGGGGCACGCACAGGGCAATGGTGACCTTTTAAAATGCACCCCAACCTCCGAACCACGCATTCTGCTTTGTCGCAAGACCCCTGAAAAGGTGTAGCGTGGTAAAGTGCATCTGGCCCCACCTTTTGTTTTGTACCTTCGTTTTTTTGGGGGGGTGGGGTGGATATCCCCCTCTCTCGGCCGCGCACGCTCTCATTCGTCGTGGCGCGGACCCTGGGGGATGTGGGTCTTGCGTGCGGGAACCAATGGCAGCCCGTGTTGGGAGTGGCATTCCGAAATTTTTTGTAATCTGGTAATGTAGACAAGTCTTGTTCCTCGTCCTGCTCCATAGCAGGTCACAAAATCGTCGTTTCCATCTACGCCGTGTAAATTTACTTGTAACGTAAGGATAACCCTAGCCTTGGATACAATGCACTTTTGAAAGTTCGTTTCAACTAACCTCCGCCTTGCGACTTGCACAATTTTGGAACAGTAATGATAAAGATCTACGTGCGTGTCTGACCAGCAGTTTTTCGACAACCATGCACCAGTAATCAGTGTCGATTTACATGCTTTTTGCCCTGCAAACTTTCCAACACTTACCCTTGCCTCTACCTGTGTGTTTACGAGCCCTTTTTAAGACCTTTCTTTGAAATGATCCTACTGATTTGCGTAAGTAGGCCAATTTTGTTATCTAGATGAGAGTTCTTTGCGGTGTCCCGTGCGACAGAAGGAGAAGACGATAACGCCGGCCGAGAGTGGTGTTGGTGAATCAATCGTATCAGCGGACTCCCCAGGATGCGATATCGCTCCACGGCAAAGGGATGAGGAGACTGCCCTGGCGACCTCTGGTTTACGTCGCAATCATGGACCGACAACGGAGACAGGTGACCTGCCTGGTAATAGCTGCTGTCCCACACCGACCGGGGACTTGACTGACGGTGACCTCGCGAAGCCGATGTCTTTTTCGGCCACTGCTGACGATGGGGTGCGTACCACTAAAATTCACGAATCCCAACATTGCCATTAAATCCCCAGTGCTTCTCGTTTCTCCAGTTTAGTCATTCAGACGGATGCATATCCGCTACATAATCCAACCCAGCAAACTAGAATACTTGAAGCGGAAGTTTGAATGGGAGGTGTCGAACCTCTTGTTGCATTTTGTGCCCAAAATGCTTTTGGTTAAGCAGCATAAAAATTCTTTCCAGCAGCTAGCTATATCGCATTGACCTACTTCCAACTTCGTACGCCAATCTATTGGTTTCAAACAGGTGTGGAAATTGACACCACTCAACTTAGCAGATATTTCTGCGGTGCGTGTTGTGCTGAAGCGCCCATTTAATGGTTATCATTATGTCAACACCGAAAGCTGTGGGATGAAGACTACTTCCACGGGAGTGATTGGCTCATCCCCTGTTTTCATCGCTTCCTTTTTAATTGGTTCCAGCCGGTGGACAGAGAATGACAGGTTCTGGTTTTAAATTAATGTAGACCTACTCGAAATAGCACAATCTGAACGGTAGACAATCAGACGCACGTACACTGAAGTACTACCGGCGGCATTAAAAATATTTACCAAACACCATTGTTTGAATGAAGTGCCACAACTCCGTTTTTTTCACATAAAACTACGCCTCTTCACACGGCACTCGCTTAATTTAGGAAAAAGTGGGTGAATCATCGCCACGAGATGGAGATATTCATCAACTACTTGGGCCCTCACCCCCAACTACCCGACTCCCCTTGCTTTGTTTGGCATTAATCTCTAAACTCGCAACAGTCAAAAAAGAACGCCACCGCATCATGTGGCTAGTTTGAAATAAGCATTTCATTGCAACGCCGGTGAAACCGGTTAGGTGTTTTTGCCCGTGAAAATTTGGCGAAATCTCATTCCATGAGTGTCCCTCACGCTGTAACTACACTAAATGACACGGTAAATTCTCTTCTTTGGTACTTTCCGGAGAACCGGCCGCCGAATTTCAGCTCTGATCGAAAACTAATACGCTCCCGTTTTTGTTGTTGTGCAGCAAGTGAAACGCGGCGGTCGACTGAACGCCGAGGCAGTCACTCAGTTCACTACACTCCCCGCCCAGGACAGGATAACGCGTTACCTTGAGAGCCTTGGCGAACTAGGCGGCACGGATGGAGAGCGGGGGCAACAGGTGAATCGATCGCAACAAATCCAGTTGATTCCCGACGGGTTCCCCAAGTTCCCACCTCCTCCTCCCATCCCGCCCCCCGCGCAGTCCCACCGCAACTTACGACAATCTGCCGAGTGGGTTCACGGTGCTTGTTTATGTCGAACATTAAAAGTTCTGAGTTAACATAACCCATCAATGCTTAAGGTTTTCAGACTTCCTTGTTGGTGCAAATCAATCTAGCAAGTGTGTGCTCCTTCGTAAGTCATGTATTGACAAATATCTGTGGGTTGGTGCCATTGAAATTCTCTCGATGTACGCTCACCGCTTTTGACTAAAAAACGTTTCCTGAGGGGCCTTTTAAGTAAGTGCAAGAGGCCTCATGTATTCGCCACAGCACCGGCCGTCGTTGCAAAGCAGATTGGCGGCAAGTCGTAGCCACGTAATACCAGTTGAGACCTTTTTGTCGGTAAAGTTTAGTCGCCATCTCCGTCCAACTCTTTGCTTGTAGACGCCACAGAAACCAAGTGGGGCGTTCGGTGTCCTGCTACCAGACAGTTCCGAATGTTCAACTTCCCGTCACTAACTGCCTCCAACAAGAAACCACGCCTCCCATCTCCCTTCCTCTCTCCCCTGACACAATTGACAGAAGCGATGTCGACGATCCTTGCATCACCCCAACTGATGATGTCTACCAGGTATGATATTATAAACTAACTACTGCAAATAACTAAACTGAGGCTGCGTAACCTAAATCCCACTAGGTTCAGTCCAGTTACCCATGGTTCTACTTCGATCTCATACTCACCAACACCGATAACAGTCCATCCTGTCCAAATGCTTGAATTGCATGATATAATACACGCAGTCAAGACCACGTGTAACTATGTACAACACTGTTAGCGCCACAAAACTCAATTTTGTAGACAGTGTGTAGTGACTAGAGGATTTAGCACTACCTTACAACCCTCTAGTTAACAGCCCGTTACAACCCGAAGATAGTGGAAAAGAGGCGACAGTGGACACGACCGTGTATTGGTGTCAAAACAGCCAAGTGGCTTGGTGTGCGTGTGAGTACGCGTGCGTAACAGGCGAATGCTGACAGAGGCCAATCACAAAAGGGGGTGAGCCATTGGTACACTCGGCCATGGTACACGCATCACTCACGCGATGTGGCTGTCTGCCCACTACTCGTGAATTTGTGGCCATGTCGGCTTGACCACTGCTCCTATTTTTATAGGCTCCCAATCTCACGCCAGAGAATGATGTCGTATGTGAAGAAGACGAAGAAGAAGAGGAATCGGGGCTGGAGGGAAGCAAGGAGCATCAGCTGACTGCGCGTCTCAACAACCTCTCCTTGCAGGCCAACGAACTCTCCAGTGCTTGCCCCCAGCTCACCACGGAACTCTCTGCGCTGTCAAACCAACTGTCGGCGTGCCGCGAGCAGATTGAGGGTCGTCTGCGCCGTGGAAAGACGGGTGAAGGTAGTGCAGCCGAAGACCAATGCCTCATGGGCATATCGCAGGCGCTTCGACAGATTCAACAAGCCCTCTCTAACATGAAGGCTCGCGTCGATAGTCTGCAGCCCTCTCCTTTCATTGCTGCCGTCTCCTCATAGTGTATATACACGCGCACAGGATGCATTTACTACCGGTTTAGACAACGTTGGTGATTCTTCTCTCTTAATATAACAAGCGTGATCTTTTCCGATCTTAGCGACCATAACGGTGATTTTGATCTGTTGCCGTGCCCTAATACAATGCTTTACTATTTTGACTTGATCTTCACTCTCATTTTGAATCCTCATAAACTAGAATCCTGGACACGGTGTCCAGCTGATCACTTATTCAATTGAGACTCGGTAGAAGCTCTAAACTTCCTCACTAATGCATACAGAACATACGCTAGAAAGTGTATCATTATTATCTGTGTGTTGGTGCATGGTCGGGGTGTTTAATTGGACTCGTTAAAAAATACGTCGGTCGCAGAGCAGTAATGCTAGTGCGAAGTGCTACCAAATTCGGAAACAATAAGGATTCCCAATTAGAACATTTGGATTAACACTAAACAACGGTGTTCACATAATGTTGATGTAAAACTTCCCGTGCTACGCACAAGTAACAAAATAACAGCTCAAATACATTATAAATATGAGGATTGAAGTACCCAGGTTGAACGCCAATTCATAGGCAATGTAGCAAGTAACCTTGATTTCAAGTAAATGGATTCATTGAAGCTTAACCCCTTCGTGGATTCTTTATTACTGGGAGATATTTTTAAGTCACGAAACTTTAACATTAATACGAACCTATTTGGAAAATGATATAGACAAACGTTCTACGTGAACAAAAACATCGCATTAACTTGCAAATTTTGAGCTATAAATTGAAATTTAAGCAACCTACACGTCTAGATTCTGCTGGTAATAAGAGGTACCCCATACGTACACCACTGTCTACAAAATCGGGTTTTGTATTAAATATTAAGAGAACGACAAAAATAAATTACATGAAGGTAAAGGAATTAGAGAAAATATAGGATACAAAGCAATTTATTTACAAACATCTTTGTCATCATGCTCAGATTCTTCTTCTTCGGATTCGTCATCTTCTTCCGAAGTAGGCAACATATCAACGTCCAGGTAATTTTCACATTTGTTATCCGATCTTGCTGAAGGACGAACACTGAAAACCTTAGGCCTGAATGTACATCTATTACACATACAAAAACTTAAGTACCAATCTGAGGATGCTGACAGCTCCAAAACCTGGTGGTCATCTAACAAGCAGACAATCTCAGCTCGAACTTTAACGTTGTCAAGCGGAATGCAGATCGTGTACGTGTCTAGGCAAAAATTAAATAAAGTACCGAATACCTGGTGTAAAATAAAAGGCATTTCTGAATCTTTCTGGAATCGAAACAAGTATTTCTTCGCCTGAACCTGTGATGGCAGAAAACAGGTAATTTCCTTTTGACTTTAATAACTAGTGAATGAAATAAATTATATACATCTAAATTACTACCAAACATATAAATTCGTCATCTTTTGGCTTTGCTTCCTTTCTGTACAGAGCCTGAAAGGCTCTTTTTCTTTTAGCTACGCTACAAAGTTGCATAGTTAAGTAATACTGAGGGAACAAAGCCGGAACAAATTTTGCGTTGCCGTTTTAGTGGAGCGTGGCGTAATGTGGTGGGCGTGATGTGCTGTTGTGGCGTCGGATCGGGGCGCAGACATGTTGGACCACCTGGCCTCAGCCAATCCCGTGTCTCTCTGCGATCCAATGGCAT